GGCCACCAAAGAGGCCGAAGTCAAAAAGGCCGATGAAAAGGACTACGCCCAAGGTATGGCCGACGTCGCAGAAGATTATAAGCTTCAAGTCAGGCAGGCATGCAATAGGGGATTTTCCCTAGGTTGGATGTCCCTGATAAAGAAGCTTGATCTCGCTGTTAACTCGCCCCTTCGGAATGCTGATGCCATCCCCTTGCCATTTCCTCCACCTCCACCTGAAGGTGAATCAGAATCTGATGCTGAGGATGAAGATAAGGAGGTCAATGAAGAAGCCTTGGTGAGAAAACCCAAGGATGCCGTCGAAGCCAAGTCCCTTCCTCCTGCAGAGCAGGTTATGGACTTAACCTTGGATGAGGAGGGTGATGAGGCCAAGGAGGCAACCAAGGAAACTGCCACTAGGCAGCTATCGTCCAATCTTCTCTTGATAGAAAGAAGTGTTGAGGAATCATTAGCAGAGATTGATGCCGAGATACAAGCGGAAAAAGTGGCCGACGAGGTTCCACCAGAATCGTCCGAGGTCCCAGTCCCTGCAGTGGCTAACAGTGAAGAATCTTGAGAAAATTGTCTTTTGTACTTTTTCCTTCTTTTTCTGTACTTTGCACTTTTGTACTCTTTTAATTTTTGGACAATGCAAAACTTCTTCTTATGGCCCTCGTGGTTTTTTCAATATTTAATTGCAACTGTTCTTTTCTATGGATGTTTTAATCTTGTGATGTTCTGTTGACTGGTTTCTGCATAGTCTTGTATTTAGAAGTTTTTTGCATGCTTCTTCATGTTGCTTCCTTTGTGCCATCTTCTCGGGGTTACATACCTCGGGTATAACTACAAAACTTTCACTTCGGCAAGATACTAACCTGCAAATTTTTCATAAATTTCAACAAGTATAGAACATATATTTCGGAATGTAAACTTTGCAAGCTTCTTCTCAATTTTTAACAAGTATTAAATGGTAATCTTGGTCTAACCTACTTGTAAATTGCTACAAATTTCAACAAGTAATGAACAATATACTTGGCCTTTACTTTAACCTGTAATTTTCTGTATACCTCAACGGGTGATCATATGTCGGCTTAACATAAACTTGTAAATTGCTACAAATTTCAACAAGTGTTAAGCATCTGCCCTAGGGTTTAAGCAACCCACATATTGCTATGAGAACTTAAGCAATAACCTCGGCTTATCTTCAACTTGTAAATTGCTACAAATTTCAACAAGTGAAGATAAGGAATCAGCTTAATTCCAACTTGTAAATTGCTACAAATTTAAACAAGTGAATTAAGGAATAATCTCGCTTAGCTTTGCCTGAGTTGGCTTGGGTTCACAGTTAAATTAGTCTTCAATAAACATCGATGCATAGACTTTATCAATCATACATGTTGAATAAGGATTCTGAAATAGAACTTTAATTGAATTGATATCGGCCAGCAACAATGGTGGTATATCTTATGAATAGAAAAATATTCAAATTACAAGTATTTCCAAGGTCTGGGCAATGCTTTGCCGCTCAATTGTCCTCAAGACGATAAGCTCCATTGCCTAATACTAGTAATTTCTTGTAGGTCTTCCATTTGGGGCCAAGCTTGCCTCCCTGGGTATCCTTCTTGTTCCCGACGACTTTTTCTTTAGAACTAGGTTCTGCCTAACTTGAAAAATCTCTTGATTAACCTTCTTGTTGTTAACTCTGGCAGCTTGTTGCTGGTAATTCTACTGTCGAGCTGAATTGCAAGCTTTCTCTTCTTCGTTCTTCAAAAATCCAGGTCTCGGGCTAAGAAGTATGTCATTGGTGCCAATTCCTTAACTCCCATGGTTCTGATCCCTTGGGATGCCGATCTCAATGGGATGTACTGGCTCTGTGCCATTATGGCCATGGCAAAGGGGGATTCTCTTGTTGATCTTCTTCCGCGTAGTCCGATATGCCCAAAGTAAACGTTGGGCAACTCGTCCACCACCTTTCCTTTGCCTGCTTGCAAGCCTCTTCTTTATATTCCATCACAGGAATTACTTTGTTAGATTGCCTCTCGCTCTGCTATGGTTTGAGGAAATGGTGTGAGAATAATTCTTGATTTTGAATTTTGTCAGCAAAAGTTTTTGATAAGCTTTGCTTGTCCGACTGTGTTCCTTTGTCGCAACTATGCTCTTGAATCCAAATCTGGTGATAATGTTTCTCCATATAAAATCTTGATCGTCCACATCTCGGATTTTGGCAAGGGTTCTGCTCTATCCAATTTTTTTTTTTGTTTAAAGGTAGTTCCCTTGGTTGGGGCTAAAACCCCAAAGAACCAGGCAAGTATTTTCTCTGCCCAGTTGCCTGGGGAAGTTGTCCAATCCAGATCCATGCCCCATTGGGCAACGCCCAAACGGGCTGGATACTGGGTTCAGGGTCGGCAGCTTGGCGATGTAATCAAGGTGCAATAACCTTTGACTTGTTCACTAACTTCTTTACATAGGCTTTCGGCATCCTTTTGCATGTAAGGGCCACCAATAACCCCTGGGTAAATGGCCTGTGGGCTAGAACGATCCTGCCCCTACATGGCTTCCACAAATTCTTTCATGAATGCTCGTAAAGAAAATCTTTCAACCCTGTAAAGGGTGTACGCACACTTAAAAGTGTCCCAGTGAAGGACCTCCTGTAGAGATGGCCTTCTGTTGTTAGACTTGAATCTGCCGATTTCAGTCTAATTTTATGTGCTTGCTTCTTTATGTCTTCTGGCAGCTTCCCCTTTTTAAGGAATGCAATGATTCATACCATCCAGCTTGGTCCCAGCCCAAGCAACATTGCTTCTTGTTCGGTGTTCTGTTTATCTATGCTCGGGCCGACATGTAGTCGAATCATAAATTGTCGCTTGTTTTTCCAGTTTTGAATGAACTGGCCAGGTGGCTAACGCGTCGGCGTGGGTTTTTGTCACCTCGGCTAACTTGGAGTAATCTGGCAGTTCTGGAATCGGGGCTGCCAATCTGATGACTTCCTTTGCCATATGCCGACATTCTTTTGTCCTGGCTGTAAATTCTCCTGTTGACTGGTTTAACAATGATTTGGTGAATCACAAAAACAATTACCTCATCTGCTTCTACTGCTTGCTGGCCAGTTTTAGCCCTGCAATTAATGCTTTCGTCTTCTGCTCATTGTTTTGAGGCTTTTGAACCCAAACGGATGGACACTGTTCTAAACTATTTTCTCCAATCCGGAGATATCAGCAGTACTCCTGCCTCTGTCCCTGGCGGTTTGAACTGCCTGTCGAGAATCAGCTGAATGAATCCGCCAATGTACAGAATGCTACAGGGTCGAGCTTCTCCCTCTCTTGCTTTTTGGCTGGGATTCCTTTCGCTTATTGGGAACAATGCTCATCTTGGCTCGGCGGAGCCCGATGTGCGGATGCGCCTTCCAGGTGTGAGTTTTTGCGACGAAGTTCGGCCCACACTTGGCCCTTTAGGTTGTTCTCGGCCTACAATCCAAAGTCAAATTGGCCCAGAGTTACTTGCCCATTTTGCTATCTTCATCGTTAAGTGTCTCCTTGTTGTAACAAGGACTTTGTGGTGCTGCTGTTAGAAATCACAAATCTTGTGTGCCTGAAAGTAATGGCTCCAACCTTTTTGTTAAGCCATTACTAAGGCCAGCATTAATTTTTCCAGTGGTGGGTATCTGTTTCTGGCGTCAAGCCAAGTCTACTTACACTAATAGATAAGCCTTCTGCTCCCTTTTTCCTCTTTCGGAATTGTAACTGCACTGACTGCGTGTTCAGAGACTGCTAAGTATAAAAACAATTCCTCCCCTGGAACTGGGTTAGAAAGGACCGGGGTTGTGGTCAAGTACTTTTTTAGGTCGGCTAAGGCAGCTTCACATTCTTCTGTCCATAGGAAGTCTGTGGCTTTTTTCACCAGGTTAAAGAAGGGTCTGCACTTGTCTGAGCTTCTGCTGATGAATCTGTTTAGGGCTGCGGCCCTTTCAGTAAGTTTCTGAACCTGTTTTGCCGACGTCGGGCTCTACAGCTCTAGGATGGCCTTGATTTGGTCTGGGCTGGCCTCAATGCCCTTTCTTGTTACCAGATATCCTAGAAATTTACCTGACCCAACTCCAAAGGCACACTTCGAGGCGTTGAGTCGGAGCCGATAACTTTTGAGTATGTCAAAGACCTCTTTTAGGTCGGCAAGATGACCTTTTGATTCCTTGGTCTTTACGACCATGTCATCGATGTAAACTTCTACTGTTTTGCTAATCAGGTGTTTAAACATCTTTGTCACTAGCCTCTGATAGGTTGCTCCTGCGTTTTTCAGCCCAAAAGGCATTACCATGTAACAGTACAGGCCTTTCGGGGTGATGAACGCGGTCTTCTCCTCATCTGGAGGGTACATAGCAATCTGATGGTACCCTCTGTATGCATCTAAAAAACTCATCCTTTCATGTCCCGAAGTGGCGTCTACCAGTTGGTCAATTTTGGGCAGAGGAAAGCTGTCTTTGGGGCTTAACTACCAGGACACGTGGCACCTCGGCTGACACGTCGGTGTCACCATGCCACGTGTTGGTATTCAGAAAATACATCCCCACAATTACTTATAAATTTAAAGTTGATAATCTCATAAAATATCAACTAAAAGTATCTCTTTTTTAATTTCTAAATAATTAGTTTTAAAAAAAATTATGTAGGCTATTTCTACGTCATAAGAGCAACTTTAACACTGTTTTTCATTTTTCATTTTTCACTAGCTAAAGTATAAAAAAATTAATATTATTTGTTTGACCTAATCATATTTTCATGAAATTCTTTCATTTTACAAGTCTTTAGGTGTAAATCGTTGATGAATCTGATAATTTTAGTCATATTATTTTGTTACATTTTATCTTTATGAAAAGAAATATATATATTTTTAAAATTATTTTTAAAATCTGTTTTTTTAAAGAAAAATATGGCAAAATATATATTTATAGTTACAATTATTAGATTAATCTATTTTTTCTTCATATATAATCTACATATAAAGACTTGAACAAAATAAATTATTGGATTTCAAGATAGAGAAATCCAAATTCATTATCGTACGAGTTTATTGCAGACTCTCTCTCTCTCTCTCTCTAGTCCCATAGACTTTCATTGATTAACGATTTACGAAATCGAAGCTCGAATCGACAACAAGCTTCTAGAGATTCAAGGTTATCTTCTCTAATCTGTATGTGTGTAATGTCCTATTTGTAATCTTCTTTTGTTGTTGTTCCAATTCTGTTGAATCATTCGGATTTAGATTTTGCAGACGAAATTAAAATTACGAGAGTTTAGGATTTGATATTGTAGTTTCAGATCGAATCATGATTTTGATTTCTTTAGTTTAGATCGAACTTGAATTTAATGTTTTTTTGTTTGCAGAGAGGTTTCAATTGGTGAAATCAAATCAAAATGGGGTTTTTGGTGACAACCCTAATTTTTGTTGTGATCGGAGTTATTGCATGTCTCTGTACCAGAATCTGCTGCAATAGAGGGCCTTCTGCAAATCTGTATGTTTCAATTCAACCTCCTTTCAATGTCTTCTTAATTATTTTCAGATTTGTGTATTGAAATTTTCATCTTTAGCAAACCCCATTTGGTGATTTTAGTTTTAAGCTAAATACTTTGTTTGATGTAGATGTTAGTTGACTCAATTAATATGTCATAATTAGATTGTGGCAAGTTTTGGATTTGTCCGCATAGAAAGGCCATAATTTGGTATTGGGTCCTAGATTTTCCAATGAACTGCATTTAGAATCACTTGAAGAACCTAATTTTGTGAAAACTTACACGCACCTCGACTAATCACGGCGTCCTGAAGTTAACGACCGAGCAAACCCCGAATGCCAATTGGATTGTGGTAAGTTTTGGATTTGTCCGCATAGAAAGGCCATAATTTGGTATTGGGTCCTAGATTTTCCAATGAACTGCATTTAGAATCACTTGAAGAACCTAATTTTGTGATAACTTACACGCACCTCGACTAATCACGGCATCCTGAAGTTAACGACCAAGCAAACCCCAAATGCCCTTTCGGTGACTCGAACTCGAGACCTTAGATCTTATCCTCAAGTTTTTACCGCTCAGCCAATCCTTTGGTTCAGTGTTGAAGCAATATTTCTATTTGTTTTCTTAAAATACAATCTTTTTTCTTTCTTTTTTTCCTTCCCCAAAAGGAACTAGTGAACTCCTAGATTTGAGAGGTGCTTCTTACTTCTTTCATAAGATCCTGCAAAACTAATGTAGAGATGTGGAATGTACTCGGCCTCATTTGGCAACTCAAGTGTTGAAGCAATATTTCTTTTGTTTTCTCAAAATACCATCTTTTTTCTTTTTTCTTTTTTCCTTTCCCAAAAGGAACTAGTGAACTACTAGATTTGAGAGGTGCTTCTTACTTCTTTCATAAGATCCTGCAAAACTAATATAGAGATGTGGAATGTACTCGGCCTCATTTGGCAACTCAATGTTTTAGCTTAAAAGTTAAAAAGTTACTAAAAAAATTAAAAAGCCAACAACCTAACCAAAAAGTCAAAGATTTCATTTTTTTTCTCTAATTTTTGCACGTCTTTTTGTAAAAAATTAAAAAGTTGTTTCAAACATACTAATTTTGTTTTACCGCATATTTTAGCCAAAAAACAAAAAGTTACTAAAATAGTATGTTCCCAAACGAGGCCTTAATGTTTAATTTGGATTTTTAATGCATATACTGTGATGTTGAACTAGCAATTGGTCTGACTGGGCTGACAAGGATTTTTTTTTTTTTTTCTTTTCTAGTGAAGGTGAGCTAGTATAATGGCATATATTTCTGTTCTGATGAGTTGATTGGAATTCGTTGTACATGTGTTGGTATCCAAGGTTGTTAAAATCGGGATGCTAAGTAGGATCGGTGAGAGGGTTTGGTGGATCGGATCGTAGGATCGGATCGAGGATCGTAAGATCCTACTTTCTATTAAAAAAAAAGATAAAAATTAAAATTAAAATAATACATATTAAAAATAAGGTGAAAAATCATAAAATCTACGATCCTACCTACGATCCTATACAATCCCGTGCAATCCTACACGATCCCATGCGATCCTACACGATCCTACTTGCGATCCTGTTATAACATCGATCCTACAACGATCTAGATCGTTTTGGCAAAGTAGGATCGTAGGATCCTACGATCCGGATCGCGATTTTAACAACCATGCTGGTATCCCTTAGGCTCCCTTTGGATTTATGGATTTGAAGTTTTGACATGAATAATTTGAGGAGTATAGCCTTTAAGTCAATGTAACATTTAGATTTAGTTATGAAGAAGGGATTTGAGAGTTTTATAATGATGGATAGTTATTTGAAATCCTTCCATAAAAGATTCTACTTGTACAAAAATCTTAACAAAATACATGAAATATGCCTATATTCAAACATCCACTTTAGAGTTATCATCTACCTTCAATAACTAATCTTCTTATAATTTTATAAAATTCAACTTCAAATCCTTCCATTTAAAATCCACCCACCAAATTGGAGCCTTAATGTCTATTGGTTCTTGAAATCATGAAAAATGTATGTTTTGATTCATATGTTTCATTGAGCTGATTAACAAGATTTGTGAAGCCATCTTATTTGCCTTGCTTTTGGACAATTTATTTCAGCTGCTGTTGAATTATTTTAAAGTTTTTCCCTCCTCACCTACTTATGGCTAATGTATATTATGTGATGCAAGTTCTTCCTAGAATTCGCTTTTTGTTAAAGTAATTTTGTTTTCTTTTTTTTTGTTTTGCAGGTTCCACCTAACGTTGGTTATTACTGCAACAGTATGCTGTTGGATGATGTAAGTCTTATTTTTAGTTGAATTTCGTCTTTTTTTTTTTGGCTGCAAAATCCAAGTGTACATTATCTTTTATACAAATTATACTGCATGACATCATCCAATGTAATGTTTACATACTGTGACTTTGGAAGACCCGTGGTACATCTGCATTTATGCTTCTTTTGGTATGAAATAAAAATTTTGAGGAAAATAATTGTTATCATTCTATTTTTTGGTGTTTTGTCTACACATTTTAGGAACAGATATTTTACTATGAGCATTTCATCATATAATTGATCCATACAAAACATCTGAAAACAAACAATACAAAACAGAATTTTGACATGGCAGGCTGGTTGCAGAGAGTGTAGATCTTATTCTAGCAGATTGAGGCCAAGTTTAGGGAGTCTCAAAAAAGTCAAAAAGTCAAAAAAATTACTCAAAAGGTTAAAAAGTTATCACTATTTACCAAAAGTCAACAATTACGGCTGCAAAACTCCCAATACTAATTTTGCCCTACACATTAATTTATACAATTTTTTAATACATATTTTTTCATAAAAAGTCAAAAAATTAACCCAAACATTCATATTTTCAACCTCAACTTTTTAGTCTAAAAAGACAAAAAGTACACTCATTTAGGACACCCCAAACAACCCCTTATATCCAAGTCGGATATGAACCTGCCAGAGTAAGGTTTGGAGATGAACCTGCTAGAATGAGATCTACCTCTTAAATCAAACCAAATTAAAGCCTTGTTTGTCATAACCTAAAAAAGTTAAAAAGTCAAAAAGTCAATATCATTTTTAAGTCACATCATCTTATTTAAGGGTTGGTTTGGGATGTTCTAAAAAAGTACACTTTTTGACTTATTGGCTTATATGGGTTGGGTTTGATGTGATGTGTTAGAGAGGTGACATCACCTCTCTATCACATCACTTCAAACTCAATCCATATTTTATGAAAAGTAAAAAAGTGCGCTTATTTAGATCATCCCAAACCACCCCTAAGCCTTATGCCCCTGTAAGTTACGGTTGGCTGTATGAATCCTTTTTTGGCATTCCATTGTGTCAAGGGCTATATACTAAACTTTTTTACTGCATCCTATGTCAGTTTAGATATTCTCCTCCCCACCCAACATTTCTGTTTATGGTGATCATATCGCACTTTCTGAAATTTTCATCTACCATTCTTTGTTGTTCATGATCAATCCATTTTAGCATGTTCTTTCTCAACTTATCTTCTATTGGTGCTACTTATACCATTTCATGGATATATTATCCATTTCTATATCTTTTTCTTAATCTTACCACACATTTATCTAAACATCCGCATTTTAGTTGCACTCATTTCATGAATGTGTTGTTTATTAGTTGTCCAACATTCCAAAATCTATCCCTTGATTCCCGTTAATTTCCATAGAGATTGTGACAGTGCATTTGAATCCACAAACCATAGGAGCTCTGGTTATTTCCAAAAGACATGAGGTTATGTTGCCACATCTTTCACTGTTGGAACTTCACTGTTTTACAGTAGGGAGTTATTATCCATTTCTATTTCTTTTTCTTAATCTTACCACACATTTATCTAAACATCCGCATTTTAGTTGCACTCATTTCATGAATGTGTTGTTTATTAGTTGTCCAACATTCCAAAATCTATCCCTTGATTCCCGTTAATTTCCATAGAGATTGTGACAGTGCATTTGAATCCACAAACCATAGGAGCTGTGGTTATTTCCAAAAAACATGAGGTTATGTTGCCACATCTTTCACTGTTGGAACTTTACTGTTTTACAGTAGGGAGTTCAACAGAATGTGCCTTCCTCTCAGTCGCTTAGTATTGGAACTACTAGTGAATAAGTGATCATAGTTGGTTTTTCTATCTACTGTTGAACTTATACTTTTTATCCGATGTATTAGGATCAACATGATGAGAGAGAATGAAATCTTGATGAGTATATGAGTTAAAATCTTTTCTGTGGTATTCAGACCAATGTGATATGAGTTTTAGCACATTAATAACGTCTTTTGGTTCCTCACATCAGGTAGCATGTATTATTTGTTTTATTAGGGTTGGGACAGGTTAATAACGTTATCAATATCCTAGACAAGTTCTTATGGAAGAGGACTAGTTTAAATAGGTTGTGAAACATTCTTCTGGTCTTGGGCTTGTACACCACCTTTACGGACGTGGTATAACTTCAACCATCTTATAGTCTATATTAGAATACAACACTTTGGCATGTATAAATGGGTGTTGTGGCAGTATATCTTTTTTGTTCCTCACATCATTTTATTCCCAAGTCAAGGGGGTTGGGTACTGATGTCATCCAGGTGCTGGACAAGTGCTCAAGGAAGAGGGTGAGTTTATTAGTTTATTAGGTTGTAATACGTTCTTATAGTCCATAGCGTGTACAGCACATTCACAGATAGGTGGTAGATCTTCTATCATTTTTATTCCCTGTTTGAAAAACAAACAGGTATTTGACTGGAGGGTTTCCTGTTTCTATGCTGCTGTTTGTGCACCATTAATCTTCTGATCTTTGTTTTAATTTCCGCCTTTGCTTATCTTTTTTTTTCTTTCTTTTTCCCTTTGACAAGCTTTCATCCTCAAGGCTCCATCTTTATGCCGTCTTCTTTCCTCCACTCTTCTAGTTCAATGTACACATTTTTCTTTCTTTCGTAGTGAACTTTGTTTCTTCCTTTATTATTATGTTTCTCCGTAGTTGAAGCTCAAGTTTGAATTAGTAAGCAAAGAGGTTTTTTGGGCGTTACCATTGAAACCACAAGATTAATGTATTGTTGTCCAACTATAAACTTTTGGATTCCCATATTGTGAACTCATTTGTTATGCTATTATCTCATTTCATGGAACAGTACGGATTTGACTTAATTTTCAATATTGAAATGTTGCTCTTATAATGATCAGTTTTTTTAACTTGTTCTACATTTTTGGTTTGCATTTTTATTGAATTATGATCTTAGGCATGAACAGATTAATGCCGTTAATGCTTCATTGTCTCTGTATGTTTTATCCAATTAAATTGTGTATTTCTTTTTCTGGTTTAGGTGGGCAATTGTGTATCTTGCGCAGATGAAACCACTGATAGTCCCAATTTTGAATTAAGGGGAGTGAGAAGCTATGTGGAAAAGCATGCATTGTAGAGGGTTTAATGGGAATGAAGATTTATCTTATTGAAGAACATGAAGTACCCAAAATCTTCTCATCTCATATTTGTATGTAATTTCTTATTGGTGCGAATAATTTTGGATTGGTTTTTGCATATTGTGGTTGACTCTACTAGCTGTAAAACTATCATTAATGTCTTATTCAAATTTGAGATCTGAAAGTAAACAATGCCACATACTGATAAATGTTTGAATGTTTACACCGTGTTGTTTTAGTTGGAACATTTTCTTGTGCTTGATACGAGAAAAATTGAAAATCAACTAAAGTCGTTATTGAAGAACATGAAGTACCAAAAAAAAAAAACGTTTTGTTTCAACACTTGCAGTACGCATTGTAGAGTGATGGGTAGAACATCAGATTTTCGTTCCATACACCGTTTGGATGGCAGGAATAAAGAAAGAAGTGAGAATCTCATCATCAAGAATTTCAGTAATATTGTTGCTTTCTTTGTGTGGATTGTTGTTTACCTCAAAGTCTTCCTAGGGGAAGTTGGGAAATCCTATTGGAAATTGTTGATGCATTTTTAAATCTTTATTTGTGGCAAATCAAATTGTTCATATTTTTGACGAATGTATGTAATACACCTATTTATTATTTACATGTTTAATACGTATTTCTTTTATGATTATTTGGGCTCAAGAAATGTGTTAAAACATAGGGAAAAGTACCATTGGTTTTTTACAAAAGAAATATATATTAGTGGCAAATTTTATTAATGTTAATTATTAAAATCAAAAGTTTTTCAACGTATATGTAATTATTTTTCTAATAATACATTGAATGGTAGTTTTTCCTTAAACAAACTTCCAAAAAAACAAGGTTAGACCATGAATGTCTCACAACACCTATGTGAGATATTTGTTCATTCATTTGGTAAATAATATTGCATCTGTAGCATTACCCATAAAAATTATAAATTTTTTAATTAATATGTAATTTATTTTTTCTGACTTTGTGTAATTGTCCCTATTATTAATACATTTTGACACATCAAGATTGATGAGAGAGATTAGTGTCTTGCTTCAATAATAATATGAAAATTATTGTAGAGAATTAAAATTTTACCAATTATTAAAAAGATTATAAAATAAAGGTTAAGGAGAGACATCTGTATTATTATTATATTAAGATCTCATTTGATACCCGGTTTAAAAAGCCTAAAAATTAATAATAAAAATGAGAACTTAAAACTGGTTATTAAAGCATGTGCATCAAACTCTTCAAAATCATTTTTTAGCTAAAAATTAAAAAAAAATCAACTCCATCAAACTCGCTTATAGCTCGTCAAAATTTACGATGACTACAGTAATTTGTTACAACAAACGAAGCACTGTTCATTGCTATTTGTGTGTTACCGGAAGTCCGGCTGGTCAACCGGTCAACGGCAAATCTTTTTTTTTTTTTTTTTTTTAAGAATTGTTTGGCTGGTAACTTATCAATTTAATAAAAAAAAGAAAGACTAACAAACACAATAAGAAAATAATATTTAATAAGAATAAGTTAGAATAAAGAGTTTGATGCAATAGGTGCTAAAAGGTGAGTAGCTAAAATAATGAAATAGTTTTAATTTGACTAAAAATTTGAAGAGTTTAGTGTAGATGCTCTTAATATAATTTTTTTTAGCAATGCTATGCATACAAAGAATCAAATACAGAAATTGTTCCACCAAACGATTGCTCGGGCGATCGGGAGGCACTATGACAGTCGTGGTCAACAAGCTCTGGCTGGTTGTCCGGCAGATCATTTGGGTAGTCGTCTGGATGCATAGTTTCTGCGTTCGGTCGTCTGTGCGCCTAGATTTTTTTTTTTTTTTTCCATTTGAGATTTTATTTTATTTTATTTTTATTTTTTGGATAAATTACACTTACACCCTTGATATTTGAGTTTAATACATATCACCTTTACTGTTTGAAAAATTATATTAACCCCCTACCATTGTAATTATTTAGATAGAATGAAAATATTAAACTCATCCACTCTCTCTTTTTTTATTTTGTTTTACTTCATTTGTTTTTTTATTTTACTTTACTTTTTTTCAATGTAATTTTCTTAATTTTTTTATTAGGAATTTTTATCTTTTATATAAGTAGTGAGTTTATGAAACAAAATTATTAACTACAGAGATAGAAATGTAATTTTCAAAACAATGGGATGTAATTGAACCAAATATCAGAAAATATCAGATATTGTCAATGTAAAAAAACGGGGCATTTCCCTAAATAAGCCAAAATAGTAAGTCAATTCCCAAACTAAGCCTAGTTTTCAAAGAATTCCCAAAATAAGCTAACTCGCGGTTCATAATCGCGATTTCAACATATTTCCGCCTGTCCTGCGTGAAAGTTGGGAAATCTTAAATTCTTGGTTACAAAAAGCGCTTTTGATTAATAAATCGCGGTTACAAAACGCACTTTTAATTAATTTTTTTCCCTTTGAACTCGCTGTTACAAACCACGATTTTATAAAAAAAAAAAATTGTTTTGAATTCGCTGTTTCTAACCACAACTTTATCAAAAAATATTTTTCTTCTGAACTCGCTTTTCCTAACCACGATTTTATCAAAAACATTTTTCTTCTGAACTCGCTCTTTCGAACCACGCTTTTTTGGTCAAAATTTTTTTCTTCTGAAATCGTGATTATGAACCACGCTTTTAGCGTAATTTTTTTTTTTTGTCTATTTTGTCATTGTTTTGGTGATAATGTATTTCAGAATAATTTTTTGGGTTACAATTGTTTTACTAAAACCGTTCTCATGTTAATTTTTTTTTCTTTTCTTTTGTCTTTATTTTGGGTTAGAATGTGTAATTCAACATTTTTTTTTGGCTTGACTAAAGTAAATTTATTTTGTTTTTTCTTGTGTTTGTTTTGGGTTAGAAGGTAATAACGTAATTCATAACTTTTTTGAGCTTTAGTAAAGCCGTTTTGATGTAATTTTTTTATTTTATTTTATTTTTTCTTTGTTTTGGGTTAGAAGGTGTTATTCAGTAATTTGTTTGGGCTTTAATAAAGTCGTTTTCATTTAAATATATATATTTTTTCTTTTGTCTTTGTTTTGGGATATTTGGTGATAATGTAATTCAGAAAACCACTTAAGGCTATCTAAAATGGAGGGAATATGATTACTGTCAATGGGTCAACAAGCTCAACACTCATTCAATGGATGGTTCAATTGAATATTTGGTGATAATATGGCAGTCACAACCACTTAACGCTATCTAAAATGGAGGGAATATGATTACTGTCAATGGATCAACAAGCTCAACACTCATTCAATGGATGGTTCAATTGGAATGGTGAACAACTTCAACAAAATGTTTAATTATAACAGTGACCCAATCTATTATGGCCTGTTTTAAGGAAAACAATTCTGGGGTCCACAACTGGTTCTAAACCATTAAGGCCATGTTTGTTTATGGTATACAAGGGCCAGATATGAGGGTGGGGCTGAATATAATATGAGGTGGGTCTCACATGTTTTTTTGTCTCTTTATATCCTGTGTTTAGTTGCTGCAGATATAGGAAGTCAGGATAGTATATGATACAAAAGGGGGGGTATGCAATACCCCCCATGATACTATATATCTCCTACCGTTGGATATAACTCATTCTTCATCTAAAGGTAAACAATAATCACTCTTCTCTTATCCCATCCAATATCCTACCTTAACCAAACATAGTATAAGTGACCCCACAATATATATCATCCATCTCATATCCTATAACATATTATATCCCATCATCATCCTTAGGTATTACATATCCCCCTCAAACTCTTATAGCCAATCCGAACAATCAAACGAGGCCTAAATGTTTGACACATGTATTTTAAATGGTAAACAAGACCTTCCCTATTATTATCTGAGAAAAGTGCCAGAACCTAGTTAAAGTAAATTAAGGGTTTTTTTTTGCCAAAAACAAGATAAACTTTATTCAAAGTGGAGGGGGGCTTACCAGCTCCATTTACCAGATTACCCAACCATCTAAACTCAAGAACTTAATCCACCCAATATAGATCAAGTATGCCAGCAGCACAAATCTAAATTGCTAGGCCTCCTATTTAGAGTTAACTTTTGGACTTATTGGCTAATACGAATTTTCCACGAGTCGGCTTCTTAGAATTATTATACTCTGACAACCTTCCTCATCCTATTCATTTTCCAACTTCTCATAGTTCTGTTTTTTCACAGATAATTAGCTCTATAGTTTATAAGCTACTATCAGATCTAGAGTTGAATAGAAAAATTATCAAAGTACACCTTATGAAGGAAAGTTAAGGCAAAGAGGTCAAGCTGTGCTCTACTTTTCATAAAAAATAAAAAATACAAAAAAGTGACCATTAGCAGCATTGCAATCACATAATCGTAAACTAAAATAGAAATAATCCATCAATAAACCTAAAATGGATTGAGGTATGTATATATAGTGTCAATCAGAGTGGGAATCAACTCTTCAGAAATTCATGTCCACGAACACATAAATAATCCTAATGAAGAGTCACTAGAAATTCATGTCCACGTACTTTTAATGAATTAGAGTTGTCACTAGAAGGATTGAAGTCCACTTTAATCCACAATTTTCATTTTTGGCTTATATGTAATTTTTTAACCATCTTTTGCGCTTGTATATTGTATACATCAGGTATACAAAGGTTGTGCCACTCCTGGCATGTTTTGAATACATTTACTTATCTGCACAAAAAAAGCATCCTACGACATGCACATCTATTATAGAACTGCCACCCCCACCTTATACCCATTCTACAAGCAACCATACAGAACTAGTACTCCCTATTTTCTTTTGATTTGACGGTTTTATAACTCAAGAAAATAGCATCACATGCACTTCTATTCTTGAGTATAACTTCTTTGAAAAACTCTAGTACCAAACATGAGGATTTCAATTTATCTGCTCTAAATGGTAAAATCACAATGTTTCGTTCATATTAATGTAACTTTTGTAATTGTCTCCAACATTCCACACAAACAACTCTCTGTAACTCCGCATATGCCTTCACTTCAACGAGCACCGAAAATCCTAAAAATTTACGTTCCAACACCAACAAAGACAGGATCATCCTAAAAAATGGAAATGGATCATATTGACAACTAACAATCGATAATTTAAAATGCTTGCCAACTAAAGTAAAACAATCAATAAATGCTATTACTGTTAGACCAATCAGATTAGTTGGTATAGACCCGTGCGTTCAACCTCTAACTCGGTTGGCGAAATAAGGAGGAAAAAATCCAATTGTCAAACAAGCACTAGATTATAACCACGTTGGGGCAATAAACAAATAAATACACAACCATAGAGAACAACTAATTTTTCAAATTCCCTAAGACCACAAATATTAGCTTATAAATTCAACATATAAATACTCGGTGATCAAAATGTACATATTATAACAATTTCCAAACAAACCACCAATTTCACAACAAAAAAACAACAAAGCAAATTTAGGTAATAAACAAAATTTGTGCTTTCAAAGTACTCTTACCATATAAAAAAATTGAGAGTAAACCTTTCAACCGAACTTTCAACCTTCATGTTGTCTGCTTCGCCGAAAAAAGAATTGTTGAATTGAAAAGATCTATTATAAAAGACAAAAATTTCAATCGAAAAGACAAAATCAACTTCAAAGACCAGCCTCAATAATGTTAAGTTAATTTTGATCAAATTGCAAATTAAACCTTAATTTATTGCTAGCACTACAAACAATAAAACCTACTTATTAAAAAACAAGAACCAATATTCTTCACTATAGTTAACTAAAACCATAAGATAATCTCTCCAAGACACCAGCTAACAAAAACAGATTATGAGTTAAGTCCTAGCCCAAAGATATTCAGTATTCTTAGATGTCAAAATATATTATTGTTAATTATTAAAATCGAGTTTTTCAATGAATATGTAATTATTTTTCTAATAATACATTGAATGGTAGTTTTTCCTTAAACAAACTTCCAAAAAAACAAGGTTAGAGCATTGCCTTCGGAGTGAATTTTGAAGGCCCTTTATTTTGAAGATTTATCTTACAATTATGGCCTTGCAAGTATTATTAAGGGAAACTACACATCAGTGAAGTTTTCCAAAACAAATTTGAAATCAATGAAAATTTATATAAATATTAATAATAAAAATTGGAAAAATGCTTTAGATCCTAAATTTTCTATTAAATGAATGACCATGAATGTCTCACAACACCTATGTGAGATATTTGTTCATTCATTTGGTAAAAATATTCATCCCTAGCATTACCCATAAAAATTATAAATTTTTTAATTAATATATAATTTATTTTTTCTGACTTTGTGTAATTGTCCTCTTATTAATACATTTTGACACATCAAGATTGATGAGAGAGATTAGTGTCTTGCTTCAATATAAATATGAAAATTATGTAGAGAATTAAAATTTTATCAATTATTAAAAAGATTATAAAATAAAGGTTAAGGAGAGACATCTGTATTATTATTATATTAAGATCTCATTTGATACCCGGTTAAAAAAGCCTAAAAATTAATAATAAAAATGAGAACCTAAAACTGGTTATTAAAGCATGTGCATAAAACTCTTCAAAATCATTTTTAGCTAAAAATTAAAAAAAATCAACTCCAGCAAACTCGCTTACAGCTCATCAAATTTACGATGGCTACAGTAACTCGTTACAACAAACAAACCACTGTTCATCGCTATTTGTGTGTCACCGGAAGTCCGGCCGGTCAACCGGTCAACAGCAAATCTTTTTTTTTTTTTTTAAGAATTGTTTGGCTGGTAACTTATCAATTTAATAAAAGAAAGAAAGACTAACAAACACAATAAGAAAATAATATTTAATAAGAATAAGTTAGAATCAATAAAG